GATGGAGTATTGAGACAGTGGTACGTATACTAGAGAATATACTCAGGGCTTGTGTTCTAGACTTCGGAGGGCATTAGGACAACCATTTACCCTTGAAAGAGTTCACTTACAATAACAGTTATCAAGTAAATATTACCATGGCTCCGTATGAGGCATTGTATGGCCGACCCTGTAGATCGCCGATCTGTTGGGAGGAGGTGGGTGATAGAAAATTGATTGGTTCAGACCTTGTAAATGAGATCACAGCGAAGATAGTTAAAATTAAAAAGAATATCCAGATAGCTTAGAGTAGGCAGAAAAGTTATGCGGATACCCGAATGAGAGATTTGAGTGATCGAATATTTTTTAAGGTCATCCCCTTTAAGGATATCAGTAGGTTTAGAAAGATGGGGAAGTTGAATCCCTGATTCATCGGACCGTTTGAGATCTTGGACATGATTGGGACCTCCACTTATAGATTAATACTACCTTCAGAACTATCTAGAGTCAGTAATGTATTCCATGTGTCTATGTTACACAAGTACAGCCCAAATCCCTCACATGTCTTGTCTTATGAGCCACTTCCACTCAAGGAGGATCTATCTTACGAGAAGGTACCGGTTGGTATTTTGGACCAAAAGAATAGAGTACTTTGCAACAGAGAAATTTCATTCGTCAAGGTTTTATGGCAGAATCACTCGAAGGACGATGTCACTTATGAACTAGAATCAGCAGAATCACTCGAAGGACGATGCCACTTATGAGCTAGAATCATATTTCAGAGCTCAGTACCCTTAATTATTTGACTAGTGAGAGAACGACAAATTTGGATGACCAAATTTTTTTTGGAGGAGAAGGGGAGAGTTGTAACACCTGAGCTCGGAATTTAGGCCCGAGATAATCAATTTTAAAAATAAATAAATTAAAAAAAATTTATTTTCTAGTTTTTATTTGAAATTTTAGAGAAAATTATGTTTTGGGTATATTTGAAAATATTTTCAAAAATCAGGGATAAAATAGAAATAAGAGATGACTTATTTGAAAAGAAATATAAAAAATTGGGATAAAAATAAAAATAATAGAAATTTGGCCACGTGGACTGCCACATCAGCAATGCGACCGATCGTCATGCGCCGTGTGGCAGATAAGCAGATACACGTCTTCGTGCGAAGCCACGCAGGCAATTCGCGTTCAAACAGATCCAACGACCCAGATCTCCTCCCGCGCAGACGGACGACCCAGATCCATTTCCTCTTCAGGTGTGATCAAACAACAAGATTTGATCCGATCGTGCGGTCTAGATTCGTTTCCCAAATAAGAGCGATCCGATGGTTGTGATGTGTCACGTGTCCCTGCACAAATAGCCCAGATTGACACAGAGAGGGTATTTAAACGTGGTTTTCCAGAAAACCCTAACCCTAGCTGCACTTGACCCCATCGGAGAAGAAGAAGAAGGCGGCCGGAAGGAAAGCTGACCATTGTCGCCACTGCACTCGAGTCGCCGCCGACACCAGAGAGGTGATTTTTTTCCCCCTTTCGCTTCGAAATTCAATTATAAGCATTTCCACACCCATATTGGCGCCAAAAAGCCAAAATAGAAGCTGAAAATCAAGAGTGGAGCTCGATCTAGTCGCAGCACCCGCGACCCAAAACCGCTACGGTGAGCTCATCTCGCTTTCCGTTTCCTTCCATTTTCTGACCGTTGTGTCCTTAACCCTTTTCTGGTGCACGTCGACTGAAGAAAATTCTCGACTGCGAGAGAGGAACGGCAGAGTCGCTGGATAGGAAAACCACCTCACCGGTAAGCCTTGATTTTTCCTTTTTTTCGATCAACAGAGGCCACCTAACCTTGTCTTCTGCAGGTTTTTGCACAAAATCAGCCAAAATCAACCAGACCGAGAGGAGTTGGCGCTGGAGCACGGCGGTGGCGCCATACCGAAAAATTTCAAAACCCTTATTTTGGCTTTTTTGAGTATTTTTGAATATGTGATGCGTATTTTATATTTTTGCACAAAAAACTCAAGAAATCCGAGAACCATCAGGAAGTGCAGTGGAGAAGTCAAATTTCGAACATCGACCCAAGGTGAGAATCCTTCACCATTTTCTCTCGTTATAGTTAATTAAAGTTTAATAAATAATAACAGAGTAATTTGTGAATATTAGAAACTCCTAATTAATTAAATACAGGTCATTAGTAGAGTCAGTAGCTGGTCAGTACAAAATTACTTATTTATCTACATTGTTCATTTATTGCTAGACTGTTATTGTTTGCTTACCGCATGCTCTTTAATTCATAGTTTTAATTGCCCTTATGTATATTGATTTACATAACTGTTTTATTCATATATGTTGATTAGTTTAAAATGAATGTCCTGATCGTGTTTTTCTTAATTGTTAAAGTAACAATTTATGTTGTCTGTTTAATTGCTGTTATATTATCATGTAAATATGAAATAAGATGGTTGTGTGTAATTGGTGGCTAGGTGATGATGTGAACATGTATGTAAAAGGCTTACCGAGTATCATGGAAAAGGGTGTACGGACCCGGTACATAGGGCAAATCCTACCATTGACACTACCTCAGTCGAATGGGGCTGAGAAGTCCCATATCGGAAGGAGTTGAGAAGTATTTATTCATCCTCATACCGGACGAAATATTGGAGTGGTAGTACGTTTGCCGCCCATTACCGAATGAGGTATGAGGACGACCGGTTAATTAATAAATTAGATATTGGGTCCATATATAGGGAAAACCCCTATGGACACCAAGAGGTACTAGCAAGTATGTAAAAAGATAAAGTTTGACTATTATTATTCATTGGAATATATAATGAATTGTTATCTTAATTATTGTCTTCAGAAGTAGAATTTGAGACCTTAAAAGGCAAGTAAAGAATAAATATTTTCAAGTTAAATGAATTTATCTAAAAAGAAAAATGACTCTATTGATTTTTTTGTGATTTTTAACAACGTTTGGTTATCTGTATCGGTTGATAAGTGTTGACATTTTTACTGAGTTAATTTAACTTATTTTTTTTATTTAATAATTTTAGATCAGGAAGACGAAGATTTAGATCCTGAAAATATAAATCTTAAATTCTCAATTCCTTCCGTTTATATTTCATTAATTTAATATTTTCCGTCAATAAAATTATGTGCTTTTACAATAAAAACTAATGTAAATATTTTAAAATTGAATATCTAATTATTTAGTATTTAGGTAGTTTGACATGTGTGTTTATATATATATATAAATATATATATAAGATTGAATTAATTATAGAAATCAATTCACACAAACACAAAGACTTGTTCTAGTTTCAATTCAGATGATAAATTGATTTTATAGTTTGGTAAGCTACAATCATGTTACTGTTGACTTTTTGGGCAAATAAAAGGCAATCAACAAACTTCTTCTATATATATATATATATGTATATACACACGCAAGCAACTACAAATATATATATATATATATATATGTATATACACACACAAGCAACCACAAGAGTGATGGTAAAATTTTACTTGGCCTTTTTTTTTGTTCTTCGTACTTTTGTGATCACACGATAACCCAAAGACAACTCCATCGGAAAGGACGGCCTAATAATTATGCAAATGGAGCCAGGTGTGTATACTAATAATAATCCATGCTGTCGATGCTGGAGTTAATTATGAAATAAAAAATCATTTTATTTTTCTAAAAATTTAATTTGTGAATTTAAATTTGATTTAATTAAAAATATAAAATTTCTTATTACAGAAACAGTAAAAAAATAATTTTATATAAACTAAAATAAAGAATGTATAAGTAATAAAATTATATATTATAAGTTCAAATTTATAATAATGTTATCTTAAATAAAAATTGCTATGACCAATAGTAAAAAGTTGATTAGTGTGTATGTTCTGAATTTTTTTTTTTAATTAGTTACGTTAAATAATTTATATAAATTAATATTTGAAATTTGGTATGATTTAACTATTCACATATATATATATGTGTGTGTGTTTTATAATTTGGTTATTGAAATTTTTTATTTATTTTAAAATGTAATTTTTTTTAAAAAAATTTACAACAGAAAATTAATTACATTTATTTTTTTAGAATATACAAATATGACACGCACGTGTTATACATATATGTGTGTGTGTGTGTGTGTGTGTGTATATATTATATAGGTGTAGCTTGATCTGGCGAGACATTAATTAGCTTTATCCGACTTCTAGCTTTCACGTCGATTTCACACACATGTCTCAACTCAGAATTCTTTGAATTCACTTTTTTTAAAAATTAATGTCGATACAAAAAAAGAGAATGAACTTTCTCATTTGGGTATGATACTTACAACTTTAATTTATAAAATACCCAATTTATTAATATATTATAAAATTAAATAATTAAATTATTATGTTTTTGAATTAAAAAATATTTTTTATAATTAAGTTTTTTAATTATAATAACACAAGGGTTTAAATATATAAGATATTATTTTTAGTATTTTTAAACATTTATTTTATTCATATTTTAATTATTTAACTTTTTTATTTTTATTTTTAATTGAAATTAAAAAACTAATCGTTGTATAATCAAAAAGACTTCCAGAAGCCAGGGTAGCTCCAAACAAGAACTTTGAACTAAAATCCACCGCCATGGCGGCAGGGCCTACCACCCACCAAGAACATCAAGAACCACCACAAGTCAAATATTTTCAGCTATTTCATCAACATTCCTTTCACATCTTTCTCTTCCTCCATTTTCTCCTTCTCTTCTTGCTTCTCTCTGCAACTTCTCCACTTCCATTTCCTTCCTCCATTGCTTCACACCTTCGCGGCACTGAGAAACAGGACAGCTCTCGAATTCTTTTGCAAACTCCATGCATTGTTTAAAACCAGAGATTCAATGTCGGAGATCATCTGCGCTTCTTTTATCAGTCGTCTTCTTGGTTTTCTCCGTCTCTTTTGCCGATCCTAGAATCTCAGAATCCGGCCTCTTCTGCGGCAATCTCACGCGGCCGCCGGTGGCGAACTATATCCCGACGTTCGTCAAAGAAATGGAGAATCTCTCGCAAGCCATCACGACTCACCACTTTGCCACTCACCAGCTCGTCATACGCCGGCGCTCCGGCGCCAACTCCACTGGAACCCCGACGATTTACGGCTTGGCTCAGTGCCACCACGATCTGTCGCAAACCGATTGCCTCCTTTGTTTCGCTGCCTCCCGCACCAGACTCCCTCGCTGCCTCCCCTCCGTTTCCGCTCGCATCTTCCTCGACGGCTGCTTTCTCCGTTATGACACGTACAGATTCTACAACGAATCGGTGTCTCCGCAGACGGATACCTTCAATTGCAGCCGTGAAGAGGCGCCAGTGGTGCTCAGCGAAGCGGAGCGATCGGCGTTTGTGAGGAGTGTGGGGCACGCGATTGGGAATGCGAGTGGAATAGCCGGACAGAGGGCTGATGGTTTTGGGGCGGTCGGTGTGGATGGAGTTTACGCGTTGGCTCAGTGTTGGGAGAGTGTAGTGAACAGTGGTGGTTGCAGAGAGTGTTTGCAGAAAGCTGCCATGGTGCTGAGAGGTTGTGGGTCGAAGAAGGAAGGGAGAGCCATGATTGTCGGCTGTTACGTGAGGTACTCAACTTACAAGTTCTATAATGATGAGGGAAAAAACGGGGAAGGCCATGGTAAGTTTGATATTGAATTTTGAAAATTGCCAAGCAAATGTTGAAATAGAATTCAATTCGCCAAGAAATTTTGGAATCTGCCAAGAAACTTTGAATTAGAACTCACCCAAAACCAAGAAAATAAGAAACAAAATCTTGAAATGCACATCAATGTTGCCTTTTCTTATTTTAGTTGAATTTCATTTTTGTTATGTTTTCCCCTTCAGGGTTGTGTGGTAAAGGGTTCATCATAGCAATTGTATTGGCAATAGTTGCATTCTTGATGCTGTCTCTCTTTGGAGCTTATGCTGGTTATGCAAAAATATCAAAGATAAGAAAAGGTACAATTTTTAGCCGTGATAGTATTACATCTAGCTTTTACCTTTTGCTTATCAAGAGTAAGTAATCAGTCAGTATTTGTATACCGGTATAGTGGTCTTCTCTGCTCTTCGAAATGCCGAGATTTTCTGTACATTTGGACTAAGTAATTTTTCAGTTTGGTGAAATAAAATCTATCTACATAGTTAGAAAATTCAAGAGAAAATATTTGCAAACTCGTGCTACGATAGTTGGCCTATGAGTCTATGCTTCCTGGCAACCGGCTGACTTCAGTTTAATTTATGATAAATTTCATAATAACCTCATCAACAAATCCTCTTAGCAGTTTCTAATGATTTCTGTTTGTCTGGATTTAATCATACATTGGCCCTTTCCTTTTTTTTCCCATTTTTTTGAAAGTGTTATCGTTCTCTTTAATTGCCCAGAAAACAACAATCTTGGGCTGGTTTCAACCAGCTTTCACAAGTCAAATCTAAAGTTCAAGTATGAAACCTTGGAAAAGGCAACAGATTATTTCAGTGCTTCAAGGAAAGTAGGGCAAGGAGGTGCTGGATCGGTGTTCATGGGGATTCTTCCAAATGGGAAAACTGTGGCTGTCAAGAGGTTGATTTTCAACACCAGGCAATGGGTTGATGAGTTTTTCAATGAGGTGAATTTGATAAGTGGAATTCATCACAAGAACCTTGTGCAGCTTCTTGGTTGCAGCATTGAAGGCCCTGAAAGTCTCCTGGTCTACGAGTATGTGCAAAACAAGAGCCTAGATCAATTCATTTTTGGTAAGAGTTTGGTCAATTTTCAGAATACATTTTATACTGCCCGAATTTTCAATTTGAATCTTCTGTTAAGATTTATGGTGTTCACGAGAAATCATAAAAGACCACAATGTAATTTTACTCGGTTACCTTTATTTGACCTCTGCCAAAACCTGTTCAATCCCATCTCCGAATTGAAATGGTTAAATCCAACATCTTCTGGTCCATTTCAATCTACCCTGAATGTTCTACTCTGGCCCTGAATAAAAACTTTTATATCAGAACCCTGAATCTGTTCTGAAACTTAAAAGACATTTTATAAAGTTCAAATCGATGTGCCTAAATGGTGAGAATGGAGGGGAGAGACTAGAATTATTGTCCGTGATTCCAAATATTATGGTGATAAATCTTCTCTACTGTGCAGATGAGAACAAAACAAGGCTTCTAACTTGGAGGCAGAGGCTTAATATCATAACTGGGACGGCAAAGGGACTTGCATATCTTCATGGAGGCTGTCATGTAAGAATTATTCATAGAGACATAAAGAGCAGTAACGTACTTCTTGATGAGGATTTTAATCCAAAGATTGCTGATTTTGGACTGGCTCGGTGTTTTGCTGCTGACAAGACTCATCTCAGCACTGGAGTTGCAGGAACACTGTAAGTAACAATCTTTATTTAATGTTTATTTTGAGCTAGAATAACTCCACAAATGTGCCAATTCAGGTATTAACATAAGTCCATCCAGAATTTGTATGTAATAAGATTTTGTCTAGTTCAAGTACTATTAAATTTTTAGTCAATTTCTACTAATAATTCTTATGTTAGTGTTAGTTTGTACAATTAGAAAATAATTTGTGATGCTTGAGTTATTCTCGCCTTCACTTTGAATTCCTTGACTTTTGAAATTTCTTTCCTTGATGGTAAAAGTTTAACTTTGACTTAAGATAGAATTTAATTCCCACCATCAAATAATTTAAGATAAGATAGGGATAACTTGGACACAATATATTATGTTTGAGCTACGCATATTAAGACTAATATAAAACTTCGAATTAGGAATGGGTTGAAAATGATTCAAATGCAATGTAACAGCTTTATAAATCGTAACGAGTACTGCTTTTCTATTGAATGATGAGTTTGTTCTGAAATACTAACAAGTTTTTCATGCTTCCTCAAAAGGCATTTTTAGCTATATTGAAAACCAGAAATTCAAAAGATTCATTTCCACATTATTTGATGGTGCAGTGGGTACATGGCTCCTGAGTATCTCATTAGGGGACAACTCACGGAGAAAGCAGATGTATATAGTTTTGGGATTCTGGTTCTTGAGATTGTCAGTGGTAGGAGGAACAGTACCTTTGCAGAGTACTCAAGTCCCCTGCTACAAACAGTAAGACACAATTCGCTCCCTTCTAAAGGCATTTACATTATAAATTTATCTGACAATGTAAAGATCTTGTTCTATGTTGGTTCAATTTTGAAATTTTTACGTTCTCTTTTTCTGTCTTCTACCTCAGGTTTGGAAACTTCACAGATCAAATAGACTAGCCGAAGCCATTGACCCTCGTCTGAGACCCGAGTTTTCTGAGGAAGAAGCATGTCATGTGCTGCTAATTGGACTTCTATGTACGCAAGCTACTGTTTCTCTAAGACCATCCATGAAAGAAGTAATCTTGATGCTAACTGACCGAGATTATGAGATCCCTATGCCAAGTCAACCTCCTTTTCTGAATGCCCCTGTGCTAGAACAACCGCCAAGTTCCATAAGGTCTAATAGTTCGAACAGTTTAGTGTCAAATCCAGCAACAAAAGTCGAAGCTTCCTACACTTCGTCAGAGTCCTATAGTACACACAGCTCTTACGAACAATGATCAAGGAAAGAGTTAAGTTCAGAAGTTGTAAATCCAAAAAGATGATCCCCATAATTTGTCAGTGGCTTCTGATTTTAGTTGAATCTTTTGCAGGCTGCAGTGTTCTGTTGTTACATGATATATCAGAAAATTATTAAGCGGTTCCAGACTACCTTTAACATGGTTCACCATTAATATTTATTGGGTCATCTCAGTTCCGATCAGAAAATTATGGTGATAATCTGACAAAAAATTTAGTATTATGTCCTAACAAAAAGCTGAGGTGATCCAATCAAAACTGGGAGGTGCATCATCTCGGCCTTGTTTCTGGACTACCCGATAATTTCTCCAATCGATCGGCCAGAAACAGCAACATCAAATCTCAGCATAAATGCGGGAGACAGCGAAGAAGGTACAGCTAAATTGTGCTGTTTTCTCTTTTTTGTTTCTTCTCAACTCATTTAAAGATGGTTTGAATTTTAGGACCCACAATTTTGCTTTCCACCTTCTTGTCATAAGTACAAGTTGGTCCACAGATCTCCCAGTCTCTCCCAATTATAAATGGTGGTGGTTGCTGGGGACCTACTTACATAAAGATTCACTTTAATTTCAGTGTGACTGTTGTACAACAGCTACATCTTCTACACGTCACAGGTCTTTACTAAATCTAACCCTAAATCTCAGTCCAGTCATTATCCTATATTTAAGAGAACAATTAGGGTTTGTTGTCACTGATGTTATGATATTTACACAGTTTAATAATATTGCAAGAATCATGCTTTTTATTATAGTTGCAATCCCATAAGGTTTCGTCTTATTGCTTTTTTTTTTTCTTTCTGTGACACTTCAGGTTGGCCTTTTATATAAAATTATTACCCTTGGAAATCATTTCTCTATGTTAAACCTGGGTCTCTAAGCACCAAGAGATAACAGCTTAAGGTAAATAAATTAGTCATTTAATATGAAATAACAAAAAAAAAAAAAACACATTGAATTATAATAACGTTAAATGTCAGAAATAAAATTATAATAAGATAATATAATAAGATATTATAAAAGCTATTAGTTAGTATAGTTTACACCAACCAATTTTTTCTGAATAGTTTATACATATAATTTTTTCATAACAGGACACCTATGATTCTAAATATTGAAAGTTCTATAAGCACTCAAAAGATACATACATCCAAACACTAAGTTAAAAGTTAACTCTTAATAACTGAGAGAGTTTGAGGGTAGATGGAAATTGCCTTCATATGATCAAAATGTAACACCTGCCTTACACTGCTTCAGCAAGTAGACTTCTACAATGACATCTTTTGCATTCATACAACTAGGACTAAACAAACCTTCAAGTCGATCCCAGGACACTACGCATTGAAGAGCTTCGACTTATGCAATCATCTAGAAAAATGTCTGCATGTATTTCAGTTCGATACAAGCATCAAAGAGCTTCGAGGTACGCAACCATCTAGAAAATGTCTGGATGTATTTTTGTGTGTTTATATAATCTTATGTACATACATACATATTGATAAACAACAGAAGTTGGCATAAGATGAGAAGAAAGTACTACTCATCTTCCCTAACGACACTAATGACACCTTCGTCAAGAAGACGATAGAATTCTTTTCTTTGCTTTTGCACCTTCCAATGATGAATTTTCCAAAGGCCTCCAGCAGCAAGCCCAAGAGTTAGCCCATAAACAATCTCTTTCAATACACTTGGACCCTGGTAAGCTGCATGACCAATCTTTTGACCAGCACCCATATTTTATCTGCTGAAACCCAATTGATAACTTATGTCAGGAACCAGATTTTGAACTGGTGACACTAGGATTTTCAGTCTTCTGATCGACCGACCGAGCTATCCCGATCATTTCTGAGGTATCATCCTCATTTTCCTAAATGACTCGGGTAGGATTGTTTCTTTCTCCAATAGTATTAGCATAACACTTAAACACGTACACAGCTTGTAAAAACACAATTCCACTCCCAAATAATCAAATTACACATTAAACAAAATAAACTTGGATAAACCAATCATTATAGCAGGATGAATATATACTATACCAAGTGCATATGGTACAGTGGTTTCTCTTCCTATTACGAAATCCTATCAAAGAAGAACAAAATCTTTGCATCTTGTTGATTTTATTTTGATAAAAAAGAATATATAGGGAAAAAGTAAAGGTAGAAGGGCACAAAAGAACTCCTCAGAGAACACCCTAATTTCCTACTTTCTACGAGGGGATACCTAAGTAAGTAATTGTTGAAAAGTTCCTCAATCTTCTGTCTCAATATTTAAGGAATCAATCTTTCTAAACATATACATATTATGTATAATATTCATATTATATGTGTAATCTTTCTAAGCTTCTGGTGGTAATTATCGCTTGATCTTGATAGTGATCAATCATTTGCATGCCTATGTTGTATAATATTCATATTATATTTTGTGCACCGATCCACAAATTTTCCAAACAAAACCGTGATTGTAAAGAAAAAAACGGAGTAGAAAATGGATTCTGAGCTAATAATCTTTTAAAACTAGAGAAAAACAGAGTATTAATTGCAGCAACGGGAATCTGAAAATTCAGCAAGAATCGGTTTCTCGGCAACCAAACAAAAGGTAAAGGAAACCAAATCAATTACGTACCTGCCGAGAGAAAATTGCTGGGAGAAACAGAGACAGAGTGAAGCGGTGATGATTGTGGATAAATTTTGAAGCTTCAAGAACACCCAATGGTTTAAACTGCACTGCCCGTGCAGCAATTTAAAATAATTTAATTGGGTAATTAAATTTCAAATAAATTGAATTGCGTTGTTGTTATTATTATTATTAGATTTTTTTTTTCTGTGAAATACGTAATTTTAAATTATTTATATCTAGCGACTAAAATTTGAGTAAATTATAATTTATTTTATTCAGTATTTGATTCTTTTAAGTTTTATTCTTACACATACAATTTGTCTAAATTGGACCAATAAAAAATTACTCTCCAGTATTAAGTTATCAAAACTTATCATATGCATATATATATATATATATATAACAAAATCAAAGAGTGCAAAAGTTACAAATGAAAATGTAAAATTGGCATTATTTATTAATTAAATTAGATAGTTTATACTAAGTGTATATTCAATAAGAATTTATTTATATTATTTTTTAATTAAAAACTAATTATATTATTATTAATATAGAAGTAATAATTAATTATTAAAACATATAAATTTTTATTAACCACTATTCTTTTTTCTACATTAGAAGGGAACTTATGCATTAAAAAGATGCTCCTTTTCTGCAGCTATGGATGGGAAAATATACCTTTATCCTTGAGCTATATATATATACCCCTCCTTTAGAAAATTACGAAATGCCATACTGATCCAAAGGCACTTTCATCCAAATCCTTTTTCCTGTTAATTACATTCATCCAAGAAAACAAACTATGACTTCTATGACCTATAAACACTTGGGTTTTTCACCTCATTGGCTATGATATAACACTGGTGGTATTCTCTTTCCCTGTTTGTTTTATATCTATTCCGAAAGACTTCATTGACTATCTAAATCTTTAAATGGCACCTTCCTGATCTATACCTATAAAATATATCACTACTTACACCCCATTTACAGGCCCCTCTCCTCCTTGACACTGACCATGGCTTCTGATTCAGCCATCAAAGTCTCATATAGTCTTCGAACTTCCTCTAGTTCGTGACGAAGTTGCTGCACCTGAAATGAAAACCAGAGAGTTTTAGTCACAAACTTAGATGACAAAAATTAGTAGATGAAGTACATTCCTTGGAGTTCAACGCAGGCAGCAAGTTTTTGGCTCTTGATGAAGCAAAATCACAGAGCCAAATGTTTCTCTCTAAAAATTATGCGTGTCATGCTTTTAATTTTTACCTTCAAGTTAAGCTCTGGCTCCTGCCTCTCCCATCCCAATATCCTATAGAACATAAGAAAGGAATCAGAAAGAATCTAAAGTGAAATTAGATATTATAAGAAGTTATGGTACCATGTTTTTAGTTTATCCTTGTGTTTATTAAAAGAAAAAAGGTTTTTGAGATACATTTAATGAATTTAACAGTCTTAATAAAATTTTCAGAATGTGTGCAATAATCGAAAAAATTTATGATACTTCTAGGCATGATTCCCTGCGGTACATAGTGATTCAATAGCTCTATATAATAATCATTTAAAAAGAATGTATACTTCTTGGTCTTTTCTGGAATTCCAACTTGGGTCAAAAGATACCTTTGACCAATGATCATTTAACATTGGGTGGTAACTTCAACAACAAATTGTGTTTGATAAATTTAACATGTAAAGTGTGCATTTGACAAGTTCAATGATAAAGCAAAAAACCTATGATACCTTGGAGATATCATTTCATAGTGATAACTTTCTGATTTTGTGGTAGTTCAGTAGTTTTATATAATAATAACTTAATAATATTATGTGATAATTCGTAGAGTTACTGAATTACTACTAAATGTTAGAAAATTACCTAGAGACGTAATGATTCTGAGGCACCATAGCAGAACCGTCAAAAGAAGTACAAGTTATAATATCCAGAGAGTGCACCACAAGATGACATGCATATGATTTTTGAAAGCTAATTGTCATCAACTGAAGAACTTTTTGTAGATAGATCTTCATACTATGCTATGCAATGACCTTACAACTACCATATAATGTCGACAGCCATAGCCCAGGGTGCACCTTGTTAGATGGCCTATGACTTCTTAACTAAACAGTAATGAGTAACTAGTGCATATAGTCTAATGTACTCAACTGCGACTGGAGCTCCTTTCTTGCTTGCAACAGATGATTAATCCTCTCTTGATCATGTGACTGGTTCTTGACGATATCGTTAGGCTGCCAGCACCACAAAATGAGGATATGATAGTAAGTATTAGCAAGAAGTGAAAACAGAACTGAAATCTATAATTTTGTTCTTATTGCAGAACTGTACAACTTTTTCCCATTCTATAATACAAAAGGCTACCAAAGTAATCAAGGCATTGACTATACCTAATTAATTACAAAGTATACACCTAAGTAATCAGTGGAATCAATTGCTAATCTTCTGCTATTAAATGTCAATCACAATCTTATAGTATTAAGGATTTCTACCACTAAATGTCAATAATAATTTCTTAACGTATGAAATTCCCACACACCCCCTCAAGTTAGATTGTAGATATAGATCATATCCAACATGTGAAGAAAACTGTTTTGATGAGAATGTCTGTAATTTGCTCTTGGTAAGCACATGCATCATGCAGATACCAACTTATTCTATTTTTTCTTCAATAAAATATTGATCTACTTCCATATTTTTGGTTCTGTCATGTTGTACATGGTTGAGTGAGATACTGTTGGCGGATTTTGTTGTCATAGTAGAGTTTGATAGATAACTTGGCTTTTACTTGCAACTTCTACAAAAGTTTTTTAGCAGTAGTCCTCTGCCACTGCTCTAAATTCTGCTTCAGCAATGCTTCTCGCCACTACATTGTTTTTTTTACTCTTTAATGTGACCAAGTTCCCCCATACAAACCTACAATATCCAGAAGTAAACCTTCTATCTTCTGTCAAACCTACCCAATACACATTTGTAAACACTTCTATTCTCTTGCTTTTACTCTTCTTGAGCAATAAGTTCTTTCCTAGAGAGTCTTTGAGATATCTGAGAATCTTGTAAACAATATCTAAGCGAGTTTCTGTTGCCGAGTACATGTGTTGAGTAACCACACTGATTGCAAAGGCAATATCTGGTTGAGTGTGTGATAAGTAGATTAGTTCGCCAACTATCTCTTATACTTCCTATTTCAGCTGGTTTTTTGGCTTCTTCCATTTTCTTCTGTATCCTAATCGGTGATCGCTTGGTTTATGTCCAGCATGCCAGTTTCAGTCAAGAGATTATATACATAATTTTGCTGATAAATACTTATCCCTTTATTTGATTTGACAACCTTTATTTTTAAGAAATTTTGTATTAGTCCTCAGTCCTTGTCTTCAAATTCAGTGGCCAAAATTTTCTTTAACCTCTCAATGTCTTCTGTATCATCACCTGGCAGAATTATGTCGTCTATGTAAACAATTAGGATTATTTTTCTCCTACTTTTAGACTGCCAGAAGAAGATAGTGTGATCATATTGACCTTGTCCATATCCTTGTCTTTTTAGCATTTTAGTAAACCAATGAAACCATGCTCTTGTCGACTCTTTGAGCCCGTATGAAGATTTCATCAATTTACAGACCTAATCTCTTCCTGTATTCTACCTTATGGCATTATCATGTACACCTTTTCTTCTAAGTTGCCATTAGGAAATACATTCTTAATGTCCAACTGCTTAAGTAGTCAAACTACATTGACTGCCAAAGAAGAATTAACTTAAGTTTAGTTTTGCAACCGGTGCAAATTGTGTAATCAACTCCATGAGCTTAGTAAATCCTTCACAATCAGTCGAACGTTATATTGTTTGGTAATCCCATCAGCTTCGTACTTAATTGTAAATGCCCATCTGTAGCCAACAGAATTTTTACCTTTAGGCGACATTTTCACCTCCTAGGTTGCATTTTTCCCAAGGCTTGCATCTCTTCCATGATCGCGTCTCTCAACTTAGGAATAATTTGCACAATAATTTTGGAATATGAAGAATGAATTTTAAGATTAACGAGTTTGACATTCAAATACTCCATCTTCTAATGACCGAAGAAAGCAAACCATCTGCAACTTGACTTTCAAATTTTCATGACAAAGTGAAATAAGTGGTAAACAGATGATAAGAATCCGTCATATGGCTAGAGACATCAGAATCAATTATCTAAGAAATGTTTGACCTAGAGTTGATGCTCAATGCCTTTGGGAAATTACCTTTGTGAGCTAATGATTTCAAGGAAATATGAGTAGAGGAGTACAGACTGAACCAGGCAGAACGGAACCAGTCCAGACCAAACTGGCCCATTTTTTGAATCAAGTTAGACCCCCAACTTCACCATGAATCGAACCAGTTCACTTCTCTTTGGTCAATTGCCCAGCCTGCCTAAGGTGGGATTCCACTTTTCGATGGACTTAATCCCCATGCTTGGATTCAAAGATGAGATAAATATTTTTTGGTGTACGGAACACCGGAAGAACAAAAGGGTGGAGGTGACTTCACTGTACTTGGGGGACGCAACAGATGTTTGGTACCAGAGATGATTAGCAAAAGTGGAAGGACTCGAATAGAATTTTTTTGTGGAGTAACTCTATCAAAGATTTGAGGACGTCTCTCGAAAATATTTTATTGAAGAATTTAACAAGTGTCATAGGAACAGTCCTGAAATATGAAGAACGTTTTGAACAATTGCGTGCATTAATGAATGCCGACAATCTCACTCTTTTCAAGAGATTTTTCATTTCCAATTTTATCAACGTGCTCAAAGCAGAACTGCAATCAATAGTAAAACTGCTTAACCTACGCTCGCTCAATCAAACATTTGAACAAGTCTTGCTCTAGGGACAATTTATGATGTAAGTGTCTCGAATTTCATATTTTACTAGCAAAGTTATCCAATTTTGGAAAGATCTAAAACAAAAAATTATGAACAATCATCCCAAGCGGTGAGAAAAGAGACGGAATCTAGAAGAGCAACAACTGCTTGCTACAAGTGGGTAAACCAATATTTACCAGGACACCGTTGCTCAAGTAAAATGGTAATGGTCTTGGAGAAGATTGTTACAGAAGGGACTCTCGAGGAAAAAATTTTCACAACTCAACCCTGAGAATGAGGTTGATGTTAAAGGGTAGGTATTGTCAGGATACCATTTGAGAGTAAAAAGGAAAATTCACAGGAAGGAGCAAAATAATGTTTTTGCATGTGCAAATTAGGCTTAGAGTTTCAACCCTAACCATTACCATCATCCCGCAGCCACCGCCTGTACATTACCGCGAGATCCCATTGCCGCCGCCTACAACTGAAATGGCCGAGCAAATCCCGCCTCCCTCAACGTTATCTTTTAATTTCAGCAAGTCTATAAATAGGCTCGGTTTGTAATTCGAGAATCATCCAACAAAGATCATCAGAATATTTTACCTTAAAAATCTCTCTCTGTTTCTTTCTCTCTTCTCCTCTTTTTCTCAGATCAGACAGCCATGAATAAGGCTTCTGACAGATTTTTATAATGATTTTCTGCCATTGAATATCAATCATAATCCTTTAACATATGGGATTCCCACAAGAAGTTAAATGGATATACAAGGAGAATGTTGCTGCTGGAGCAAGATACCTAAGAAGAATTGTAAGTTTTCACTAAACCAGGTTACAAAACAGAAACTGACATGCACAAAGGATTTTGGAATGTATAGGTTTACAAAAGAATAGAAGTAAGAGCTAGAAAAAGGGTTCAAGGAAGTAGAGTCCTTTGGGAACTTAAAACTGAAGTTTATACTAAATCAGCTTGTTGGGATTCACTAAAAAAAAGGAGCTTACAAGCTGTAGAGCGCTTGAGATTATCACTTACTTAAACTAGTGTGTTTTAAGCTTTTAAAATTTTGGTAATATTTGCTTGTATATTTTTTTATTATTAATTCAAATAAAATTAGAAGAAGGTAATGACAATTGTTTGAATCTAGTAAAATTCAAACCTGAAGGTTATTTGGTAAACATCAACTTATTTTAGGAAGCTCATAAACTCTCCAAGACAAGCTACCTCCACCAGGTTTCAAATAAACTATCAGCAGATGAACTACTTAGCTAATATGCCATCATTACATCGAGCATATCACAAAATTTGAAGCTCTTCAAAGGGCTTACAAACTCTCTTTGATCAGAAAGTAAACTAAGCCAAATACCCATGAAATTCCAAAAATTATATTCTAAATAGGATCTCTTTTGCAAACCTGTTCCTTCTCATGCTTCCCCGAACCAGTTGAACAGGATTCTGTTCCTGCATGTTCTACTTGCACTTGAGAATCGTGCTGCATCTTCCCATCGAATCCTGTTTGGATCAGATCAGGATCAGCAGAAATCAATATTGTTCAAACCCCTTCCAGGTGTCAAATGCAGCAAAAGGTTCCTGCATTTACAATCATTTCACTCATAGATGTACCTTGGTGGAGATTATTTGAGTGTGAATCAGGAGATCTTCTCTTCCTTCCAGAGAGAACAGGGGTAGTTAGCCCAGGGTCTGGTACAGGTCTTGCAAGATCTGCATCAAGGAATTGGAAACCATTATTTCAACTTTCGAAAACATAGTGTTCGCTGAAAAACGAAGTAGTTAAGTATTTAAATTATAAAAACTAAACTAAGCTGACATCCTTTCATCAACAAGATTAAATTAACGATTGATCCTAAATAAATTGGTAATTTCATTTCTTCATAAAATAAAAAATATAAAAATAATAAAAACAGAAAAGAAGAAGTGATTAATTTCAAAATGAAAAAAAACTGTAAGTTTGACAAAAGAAAGAAAACAAAAAACTATGACTACATGGTCTTCCTAAGAGGAAAAGGGATCCAAAATGGTCTTGTAAAGAAAAAAAAAATTAGAAAGCTAAAAACAGAAAAGAAAATAAAAGAAACGGTACGAAATGTTAATTTTTTTCAAAAAAATAATTGTATTCTATTTAACTAAAAGACAATAAATTTAAATTTAGCAGGCAAAGTAATTATGAAAACAAAGAGCAGAAGCCAAAAAAAAAAAGGAATGACAAAAAAGGGAAGAAGAAAATCACAAGGCCCCACCAAAGGCCTTACTATCCTGGTACTACAACTCTAAACTACGTTATAGACAAGGCTAGTATCCATCAAACACATGTTCTTCTAGAAAATGTTGCATACTTAAAGAAAGTGGCTCTGTAGAATGTGCTACCCTGGGAGATACTTTAACCACCGGTTGATAACCAATCTGTCCACAATAAAGCTTCCTGCACAAGAGAACATTATATAAAACTAAGCATGCTGGTGCAGAGGAAATGTTAAAATAGCATCTGCAGATATTTCATAGCAATCAACTTGACTGCCAAAAGGAAAATTTTTTATTTTTAGTGTAGATACAACCGTCAAAATTTCTATCTCAAACATCATGATTTAGGATTCTTTTGGCCTATAGATCAAGAAATATTATTAGAAAGAAAGAGAAATAAAGTACCTAAGTGATGTTTAGTTGTCCTCAAAAATAAAAAAAGAAAAAGAAAAACACATTAAAAGAGAATAGAGCAAACAAACAAAATAAACAACTCAATAGACCATAATTGGTGAAGCTCCACATAAAACAAGCAAAGAAATATCCATATGACGATCATGGGACTTAGCCTGATGAGATATCAGAAAAGAGATCTTATCCAACGAATCAACAAAGGGTGAAGTATACTTTGGCCACTAATCTTGCCTTCTACCTCTCTACGGTTCCGTTGGGCTTGTACTTGATAATATATATCTACTTGCACCCAACTAATCTTTTTCCCTTAAGTAAGTCTACTACTTCCGTATTTGATTCAAGTATCTACATTTCAACATTCATAACATTTTTCCATTCCTTAAAGTTTAAAGCTTCAAATAATGTCTTAGGGATAGATCTTGCATTTAGACTCATAAGAAACTTCCTGTAAGATGATGGACATTTCCCAAATGAGACAAAATTTGAAGTTAGATCAAGCAGATGTGTAATATCGGGGCCGAAATTTGGCCCGAGATAAATTTTCTTATTTATAAAGTATATATAAATAATTAAAAATATTATTTAAATTTAATTTTATTAAATTTTTTGAGAAAAATAAGTAAAGGACGAAATTGAAAGCAATTTTGGGGAAGAAAGATGAAATTTTGAGTTTGGAGGTGTTTTTGAAAGAAAAATTAAAAATAAGGAGTTAAAATATAAAAAAAAAAAATTCAGTAACTTAGAACGGCACAGTCAGCAGCCACGGCGAACCAGAGCACGCTGTGTGGCAAAACATGCTGACATCGGATGGACAAGATCAATCGCGATGAACGGCCCAGATTCATTTAAGCAATCGGCCTAAACATGCAACGATCGAACGGCCCAAAGCGATGCGGGATAGGTATTTAAATATTGCGTCGCAGGAGAATCCTAACTCTAGCCGCACTTGCCCTCGCTAGAGAAAAAGGATCAGTTGTCGGAGAAAGAGACCGACCCTTGGCCGCTGCCGCACCGGAGCCACCACCGACTGCCAAAAAAAGTAAAATTCTTCCCTACCTGCTCGGAATTCGATTTTGGGTCTTCCTGTGGTCATTTCGGAGCAAAATGGACGACGAGTAAACCGGAAACTGCGGGCAAAATCCGGCGAAACTACTGTGGCCGAAACCTTAAAACCCCTCCGATGAACCACTTTCCATTTTCAGTTTCACATAATTTTTTAACCATTGTATTCACTGTCCTTTTCTGTACAAGTTAGACAAAAAAGAAACCCTAGCCGCGAAAGAGAATCAGCAGAGTCGCCGCACTTGGAGACCCCTTGCCGGTAGGTTTGATTTTTTGTGATTTTCTGGTCAACCGAGGGCTCCTAACATGTTTTTCCGCACGGATACGTATAAAACCGGCCAAAACTGGCTAAAACCGACCAAAATCGGCCAGATTGAGGCAAACCGCCATCCTGGGCGGTAGAGTCAGCGCCGGAGCACGGCGTCGCTGCCGTGTCGGAACCCTAAAATTTGCCGGAAAGAGTTTTCAACATCAATTTTGAATTTTTGAAGTATTTTTAGGTATGTAACGAGTATTTTGCATTCCCGCAGGAAAAATTCAAGAAATTCGGGACCCGTTAGGAGGTGCATTAGATAGCACGACGTTTCGAAATACCGATTCGGGTAAAAATCTCTCACTCTATTCTCGGTTACGGTAAATTGAGAATTAATAATCAATAATTGTGTGTTTTGTAAAAAATTAAAAAAACCTTAAAAATATTTCAGGTCACTAGTAGAGTTGGAAGCAATTAGTTCATATTTGTTCTGATTCCCTGTTTATTTTCCTGTATTGTCTAATTTTCTTACTATTATATTGTGTATGTTTAAATTGATAGTTTCTATGATCCTCTCGATTATTTAGTTTATTTGATTCCTCCTGCATTGTTCATTTGATTATCTGGTTACTCAGTTATTAGTTATAATAAACTATATCGCTCGCTTAAGTGTCGTTTAAATTGATCAATGAATATGAAATGAGACATTGGTATGCTTTAGTGGTTGTTTGGATGATGAAAATCTAAATAAATGAAAACTTACTTGGCATCCTGAGAAAGGGTGAATGGACCTGAGACATACAAAATCTTACTGTAAACATTACTTCAGTCAGACAGGGCTGAGAAGTCCCATATCAAAAAAGTTTTAGGAGATATGGTTCATCCTCATACCAGACGGGATATCGAGTCGATGATATTTTTGGCGCCCATCACCGAACGGTGTATGGAGATGGCCGAGTTAATTATCAAATTTTGACACTGAGTCCATGAATAGAGGGATATCCCTAAGAACTCCTAAAGGTCCCAATAAGTAGGCTAAAAATGAAGGATTGTTGATCCTATGCATGAAATTAAAATGTCATTTAGTTAATTATTTTCATAGGTTGATTTTGGGAAAAAATTACAACGGTAAGTACCGAATAAAAATTTTTAAAGTTAAATGTATTTACTTAAAGTAAGGGTTCCGTTAATTATTTTCTAATTTTTACCAATCTTCGATTTTCCATATCAGTTATTAGTGTAATATTTTTAATGGGTTAGTGTAACTCACAATTTCATTAATTATTTCAGATCAAGAAAATCAAGATTCAGATCTCGATCAATAAGAGGGTTGTGAGTAGTTCACCTCTCGAACTCTCTTCAAATGCTAGTGAAGGTTACCCCTAAAATATTTATTCATTTGTTTTTTTTAATTATCATTTATCTTTTAATGAATAACGTAGAAGAAATATTCTCATAATCCTGTTGGGCATTTCAATTTACTGTGTAAAGAATGTAAACCCTAACATTATTATTCGCTTCTTCATTTAAAATATAAATTCATTTTCTTTAAGGTTCCGGGTCTTTACAGTTGGTATCAGAGCAGCATTCTTTAGAATCATTCCTTACACAAAGATTAAAAAACATCAAATACAAACTATCGCTCAACTCTTTCTTATGAAATGCAGGTACAAGGATATGAGGAGAGAAAGACACCCACTAAACCGGGCAGTCCGGGATGGTTTGTTTCGAGAGAATGTTGATCGACTCTTTGAGATATTGGAGAGACTTATCTCTACCTAATAGGCTCGGGAGGAAAGGAGGGAATTGTTTGACTTTCCCTCGTTGCCACAATTTGAGCCCCCCTTGCAGCGGGAAGGTCCGGAGCCACCCCGGTACAACCCTGTTCCTCCATCGTATCATCTGGCACAGCTACAGGGCCACCCAGTCTCTGCACAGCACAATCCAGTCCCTCTTCTACGGGACCCAGTTTCACCCATGATGGACCCAGACTATATTGAAAGGTTCAAAAGACTAAATTCATCTATTTTTGCAGGGGCACCCTCTTTTGAAAAGGCCGAGTATTAGCTGAGACAGAAAAGACCTTCGCGACCCTTACGGTGGTTCCTGAACAGAAAGTTGTACTTACCACCTACATGCTCGTGGGAGAGGCAGGTCGTTGGTGGCAACTCAAGCAGACCACCCTGCCCATTCCAGTCATTTGGTAATAGTTTCCGATGACCTTCAATATAGAGTACCTCCCAGAGCACATTCGACATTTGAAAGAAATGGAGTTTGAACACCTACTCTAGGGTGATATGACTGTGTCAGAGTATACTCGAAAGTTCCTAGAGTTGGGAAAGTATTCCTCTGAAAGTAAGATGGATGAGGGCAGGAAGGCAAGAAAGTTTGAATGAGGTCTCCATCCTGAGATCAGACAGTAGTTGTATGTATTTGAACTCAGCATCTACTCAACCATCCTGGTCAAGGCACAACTAGTAGAGAGGAGGAACCTTCGTATCTTCCCTCCAACAGTGAAAAATTTCAAACCCCTCGGTTTCTCACCGACCAGCACCCACTGTACTAGTTCAGCAGAACAAGAGGCCTAGAGGTCAATGACTCAGGCTCCTCCTTAGGCTCCGGTAACAGGACGCATAGGACTTGCCAGCACTGTGGCAAGAATCTTTGGGACCGACCCTACTATCGTTGCAATAATACCTACCGTATATGTGGGAGTGTCCAACACTACGCGAGAGAGTTCACCAAATCAGAATCAAGCCAGACCTCCTATTCAGGACAAAGTTTACAACCTCACTCAGCAGAATGCTGAAGCCAACCCGGACGTGATACAAGATACGTACATTATCTGTAATCACCTTGCACATGTTTTGATTAGTATTGGTGTATCATATTCGTTTGTCTCACATGTTTTTGTACAAAATTTGAATGTATTACTTGAGAAACTTGACTCTGTACTGTTTGTATCAACTCCTGAAAGTAGGACACTAATAGGGGAGGCTATATACAAAATTTATATTATAGACATAGCAGATAGAAAACTGAGTGTGGACCTAATAGAGATTGACACGGAGGACTTTGATGTAATTTTGGAAATGAACTAGTTAGCAGCGTATCACACCACCGTAGATTGTTTTCATAAGAAACTTGTATTCAACCCTCCTAACGAAGAGTCATTTACAAGTTAATACAAGTTTAAATATTATTCTTTTATGGAAATTTTCTTATTACATAGTACTTTAACTCGGTTGTCTTCTCTATATAGGTAAATTTAAGAAAAAAGTTTGCATTCAAGAGTTTTTAGTAGTCCGAGACTTCCCGGATGTGTTTCCTGATGAACTACTCGGACTGCCAGTAGACAGAGAAGTTGAGTTCATCATAGATCTTGAGCCTGATACCTATCCTATCTCAATTGCCCCTTACTGTATGAGTCGTGTTGAAATGAAAAAACTGAG